AAAATTCACGTCTTTTACATATGTTTTGTCATAGAATTAGTGAGATTTTATTGACAATACACTGAGAGAAAACATTTTTGAATTAAAAATAACGTGGTAAATTTAAACAAATACGCATCAACCCAACTCGTATAAATTTTAGTATACAAACGTATTTAGTATATAAATATGCAATTCAAATACGGGTTATATGAAATAAAAAGTTTTGCACTTCACGGATGCTTTTTCACAATTAATATAAACAAAAAAAAAATAATTTCCATGCTGCCTGCAAAGGGATTTGAACCCTGATCCTCTGGAAATTAACAAATTGTTACAAGTATCTTTGCGCACTCAGCTACAGCCAGACATGTAAATGTGCTTTGAAATGTTGAGAATCAACACCACAGCACGCGTACGTGGTGTTAAAGTATAACTTTTAAATACGAACATTTTAACATGATAATCAAATAAAAAATATTAATTTTTACTATGCGTTCTTTCCCTCAGTGGATTCATAAGTTTTTTCTTAATATTACAACGCGTTTTTTCTCTCAGCGTAGAGTGGTTGAGGTGTTTAAATGTTCTGTATTGTTTATCTTTTAAGTAAGCGTCCCTGAGCTGCAGTCAAAGCAAGATCTTCATTACATTAAGATCGAAAAAATATACATATCCGCCTAGATATTAATATTTGCTATGATCCTCCCACCACTCTTTCACCGATCGACAATAATGAATTGCTGCAATATTTCGCTAAAAATTAACACTGTTTCAAAATCTCCTGCAAGATAAATTCGTTACCAAACTCCAGCACCTATCCCCGATCCGCCATGGATAAGCCGTACTCAGATTTTTGTCTATCCACCTAGAAATCCGAAACACTTTGTTGTAGCAATTAAATAGTGGAATAGAATATATAATTTTTTTCTGCGCAAAATATGTCCAATGTTCCACAAAAATATGTTTATTTAAACTTTCGTTCAGTATTAAATTATTCACTTTGCATGTATTAAATTCAAATGCAGTTTAATATGTCATCAGAGTGCATTTAGTGCAAAAAATGGGTAGAAAATAAAATACTTTACTCTGAATAGAAAATTCATAAAAAAATGTTATCCTATATTTTTTCTTGAAATAAATGCAGGGAATTTTTAAAAAGGAATAAGCATTGCATGCGCTATTTGATTATAAAAGTTTAATCCTATTTACGATGAAACGTAAATTATTCTGCTTACCATTTACTGTTTCATTAATTTTTTTTTTTGTTATAAATAATGATATAATTCGTATTGGGCGTTAAAAAGTACATACATGTATTTATGTATGTATGCAAAATTGTACTTTGTAAGCTTGGCTGAATTTAGAATCATCAATTTTATTGTACACATACGTACAAAGCATTGAGGTTGTTCACGCTTGTCTGGCTATCAGGTTCTCTGGTTAAAAATTATTATTGTGTAGTGTATTTTGTTGTTGCAGACTGAATAGAAAATATAACCACATAACTACATAAGCTGATAACCAGGCAAGCGTGAACAACCTCAGTGTATTTTAACACTAAAAAGACGGAAAGGGGTCTTTGACCCATTTTCACATTCGACTGCCAATATTTCTTTCCCAGTTATTTTTATAAACCAGTATTTCGTGAATTTTATTAAACGGTGCATACAATTCAGTTTCCTATTTTATTGATTTCAAACTGAAATACATATTTATATGTATGTAGTATAGTAAAACTACCTCAAATGCGGATAGGGGTCATTTATGGCGTGACAACATCGTCACACAAAGGAAGGGAACTGGAATTCTACGCCGACTCAGATTGGCGATTGTATTTTTATGAGAAGCTGTTTTTCATGGCAGAATACAATCGGAGGTTTGCCTCTGCCTGTCGAGGGGCAGGCCATTATTAGAAAAAACTTGTTATTGTTTTTTTTTTGTTTGATGTTGTCGGGAACTGTGCTCGAACCCAGGCCCTGCAGAATGGTAGTGCGTTGTTGTTGTTTCTTTCTCCCGAAGAGAAACATGGAAAAAAATTCAGAACAAGAGCGATGAATCCGCCTTAAAACTACATTTAGAGAGAAATTTGACAGTTGGATTTTGAATTTTGTGAGGTATAAAATCAGAAAAAACAAGTATTTTTGTCTTTATCAATTTAGGGCCTAAATGAGAGTAACGCTACTTCAAAAATAATATCATGTCGTCATGAAGAGCAAAGGCTTTTTCATTATTCAAAGCTAAGCAATATATTTCTAAAGACAGAACGCTACAAATTAGCTCTGATCCAATACTTTTCGTGTAAAAATGTCTAACAGCAAAATTACTCTCTGAAGTGAGAGTAAAAAGTGAGTAACAACAAAAAGTACGGAAAAAAATATATTTTTCCTGTAATAACGTCAACCAGCGATCGCTGACACTTTTCATGATTTTACCAGAAGAAAAAGTTCGGGTAAAATCTTGCAATTTCATTCTCTACACAACTCTCCAAAAAAGCGCTACATCAGAGCTATTGTCAGCATTGCTCAATAATCTATGTAATTACAATTATTTTAAAACCATGGCAAAATCGTCATTTGTTATTTTTTTATTTTTTCGACAATTTCTAATCGTTATTTTATGATTTTAATTGTTTTTTTTTGATAAAAATTATAATCATTATTCAATGACTTATATTTTTCCATTATTTTTAATCGTTATTTTAGGATTTTTACTTGTTCGATCAAAAACAATCGTTTCACTTGGATTTTTATTTTTCCGATCATTTTTAATCGTTATTCTATGATTTTTATTTTTTCGATCATATTATAACCATTATTTTCAGACTTAATTTTTTTAGATCATGAAAGATTTAAATCGTTTATAAAAACGCCGTACTTATTATAATTGTTAAAAATGATCGAAAAAATAAAAACTCGAAATAACGATTATTCTGATCGAAAAAAACTCAAATCCCAAAATAAAGATTAAAGATCATCGAAAAAAATAAAAATCATAACATCACGATTAAAGATGATAAAAATGATAACGATTAAAATTGGGATTGGATTTTTATAATCATCATTATCATAGCGGTTATGGTCCCTGATTACAAGTTGTCAAGAGCATCACAAGTGTGTGAAAAATTAAGAAAACAAATATTAATTAAATTTTTAATAATTTTGTGAGTACTCATTAAATATTTTTGATTTTTTTTAATACATATGTACATATGAAATTAGTACTAACATATAACTAAAATCTTGAATTCCTTAACTTAAAGCTTTTTTTATACAAATTCCTCTTAACAATTATTCAAATTTTACTAATTAAAACTTATGTAGCTACATCCGAACACAAAATACATTCACAAAAGTTAGGTAATTTAACCATTTGCTCCTTCATCACGCCATTCACCAGCACCACCACGTTCCTAAAGGCAAAGCGTTGTATACATTTTGCAGATATGCTGAGTGGCAAATTTTGGTCATTGCTGCAAGACTTCACCACATTTTCGCACTCCTCTACCAACACGCCTTGCTTATGCTGCTCATGCTGAACCACCAGCAACCATTTGGCTTCCTTTGATACCGCACCCTTTGGATAGATAATGCGAGACTTGCTATTGCAGCTGGGCTTTTCCGCCTCAACTTGCATACGACTCGCAACATTTTGTGGTTTTATTATATCATCCTGGAAATATGATTTGAATAACTCAAATTGTTCCGCGTCAATTTTGTCCAGTTGCGTAGCTTCTGCATAATTTTGAATCTCTGTACAATATGATTTGCCAATGCTGCGTTCGGCGCAAATAATTTCATCATCTTCGTTGTTGGATGGTCCTGTATTGAAGACCATCATGCCTGGACCGACTTTAAAGATGCTTCCCAGTTGGCTGATCACATTTTTGGCGGCAACGGCGTCGGCGGCGGTGGCATTGGCTTTAGGTTTTGGCCTGCCATTAGCTGGCTGGATTATCAACAGAAATGCGAGTAACGATAGTGTAAATGTGGTATTCATTTTTAGTGAATTTCTGCACATTTCAGATGTGACTTAATAACGGGATTCGTTTTGTGTTACTTTTAGTTATTTTGTTGCGTTTTTGAAATTAATTTTAGCTGTATATTTTTCTGAGCTTGAAATGTGTCTAATGTTTTTTGGATTTGTTTAACTCTCACTGCTGTGTTGATGAATGGCGACAACAGCTTGTTTTTAGCTCAATATATAGCTCATCTCGGCGAATTTCCGTTTTTGGAAAACCCCGTTAGCTGTTATTGATGGTTTTTCAACAACAGCATATGCCTTGCTTGCCTAAGCCGTTCGAAGTATTGTGAAAGGATTTTACCCGTGGGAATTTCTTTAAAGTTGATGTGGTTATGTCCGAAAGCAGGTAGGAACTCCCCGCCGCTGTTTCCTAATTTAGGCGCATTGTTATTTTATGCGATAGAGTGGGCAAATGTTTTTGCTGTGCATAAATGTAATGCGAAAAAATGCAAGCAATCGATTTTACCGCTGATGCCAAAATAAGATTTTATTCACAAAAGGGACTGCCGAAATGATTGAATTTGAACTGGAAAAAAT